TTTATGCGCACGCTCACTGAATTTCACAGTTTAAAAACGGCGATAAAGCACATAAGTAAAGACATTGTAGCGCCCTTCAAGGAAAGCTCAAAACAACGGCAACTGTGGACAGTTGTTTAGCCCTTTTTGGGGCTCATCAGCACAGTGCACCGATGATGAGCTTCCACATACCAAGAATATATATACTATATATATATATATATATATATATATATATATATATATATATATATATATATATATATATATATATATATATATATATATATATATATATATATATATATATATAATATATTTCGACGTTATCATCAGGAAATGAATTATATATATATATATAATATATTTCGACGTTATCATCAGGAAATGAATTATATATATATATATATATATATAGCTTAAGATTTTGGTTTACGAAACACAAACAGTGCTCAATACCATATAGATAGAGCGTAATATAGTTTTTCGTTTTACCTCAAAAAACCACAACAGTCTGTTTCATCCGTATAGGAATCATCAGATGGTGAATAATTTCGAAATTGTAGGTTGCTTTTATGCTATCGAAAGAATGTGCGGAATGCGTGTAGGCGAAACAATGCTTAGGTGAAACAATGCATGCTTGGGTCATTAGGTTTTGTTAACGACCTTGTTTACTCGAAACCGATTTTTGTGACGACATTTGCCGAAAATTTCGCTTCTTTTATTGAGTAAATTGTTTTTGTTTATGTCTTTCAAAATGCAAATTTTTCTTCCAAACATAAATTGCAGCGTTTTGATCCCCCTGTGTACGAAATAGCGTGTTTTAAAATTGACCATTTGATGGTATAATCCTGATTGTTTTCTTTTAATTTCCAAATATGTTTCGAAAGTTCCGTTTTGTTTGATTCTTTTTTATGACGAAAAGATGAAGTGTGGTTAGCGTAACGTTCCTTAAATGTAGTCGCTGTCATACCAATGTAGTGTTTAGTGTCGTTCGTGTTGTTCGTTTTGACTGTTGCTTTGTAAATAATGTTGTTGGTCATGCATTGTTTCGGTAGTGGGCAAGTGTTTTTGTTGTCGCAGTTACAGTTGTCAGTTTCCGTATTCTGTGATTGACTGTTCCTAATTATATGTGCGTTGTGTTTGGTGATTATAGACTTAACGTTGTTCATGCAACTGTAGCTTACTTTTAAAGTGTTTCTGTTAAACATCTTGTGTAGTTTGTGCTGTAGCGGGAAGTGTTTGTCAATTAAACTTAAGAATTCCCGTCCTATGTTCGTGTTAACACTCTTACTAAATGGTGGGTTGAACCAAATTATGTTGCGTTGCCTATTCCTACGTGTCCGTTGCGGTGCATTCTCAGTGTACGTAAATTCATGATCAAAGTTGCTATGTGTAAGAGCGTTCTGGTAAATAGGTGTGGATTCCTTAAATGTTTGTTCGTCCGATGAGAGAAGTGCAATGCGTTTGTTGATAGCTGTAGGTAATTGTCTTGTAATGCTTGGTGGATGGTTTGAGTGTCTGTGGATGTACAATGGATCGTCATTGGGTTTCCTGTATGGTTTGTGTTTTGCGTTGATCAGGTCGAAAGTAACATCTAAAAAATTTACAGCGTTCATATTTACTTCGGCGGTGATTTTAAGGTCAAATTGCTCGAAAATTTTGTGTAGCTCTTTTCTAGTTTTGTCTAGTAAACGGGCGGATTTGCTTTTTATAATAGCCAAACCATCATCTCTATAAAGTCCGATGTTTTCCTTGCCAAATCTCTTACCTAAGTGATTTAAAATGAAAAGGCCTACCAGCTCACAAATTTCAGCGCCGTCGAAACTACCCATAGTGACGTCAAATAAACTGTTGCTTCCGTCTTTTTTTGTCCATAATTTGCCGTTGCCGAAAAGTAGAAATTTTCTTGCATGTTTTATTATTGAAATATCGTTTTCGGTAATAGTAGTCAAATCCGAAGCCCAGGCCAATGCTTCATTTAAAAGTTTTTCGGAAATAGATGGGTAAAAATCCACAATATCAAATGAAATAAAACTGTGCCTGTCTTTATCGTTTATATTGCCAAACCATGAAATTACTTGCTGCGTATTTCTCCATTGATTTGAATTTAGTTTTTGTCTCAAATTGGAATTAATTTTATCTAAAATAACCTTACTTAGTTTTCCGGATTCGCTTTTTGCGGGATTAATTAGTCGGCAACGCTGCAATTTATGTTTGGAAGAAAAATTTTGAAAGACATAAACAAAGACAATTTACTCAATAAAAGAAGCGAAATTTTCGGCAAATGTCGTCACAAAAACCGGTTTCGAGTAAACAAGGTCGTTAACAAAACCTAATGACCCAAGCATGCATTGTTTCACCTAAGCATTGTTTCGCCTACACGCATTCCGAACATTCTTTCGATAGCATAAAAGCAACCTACAATTTCGAAATTATTCACCACCTGATGATTCCTATACGGATGAAGCAGACTGTTGTGGTTTTTTGAGGTAAAACGAAAAACTATATTACGCTCTATCTATATGGTATTGAGCACTGTTTGTGTTTCGTAAACCAAATCTTAAGCTATATATATATATATATATATATATATATATATATATATATATATATATATATATATATATATATATATATATATATATATATATATATATATATATATATATATATATATATATATATATATATATATATATATATATATATGTGTGTTGAGTAGTGTAGAACACTTGCAGAACTAGTATTGTTCGATGCTGAATTAATATAAACGAGTATGTTTATGACATTCAGTATATATGTTTATGACATTCAGTCACAGAATAGGAAGTTATACCAGAAGCGTAACTCGAGCAAATATTTGTCCGCGTTTTTACAAGCGATTCGTCATCAATCACGCCATCCTGGCTAGTACAACCGGCACTTTGTACCTACCACATCCTGATAAAAACTTCCGGCTGTACTAGCCAGGATGGCGTGGCCTGACGTGAGCGAGTTAAAATTTTCGTGGACGTCAAACAATAAGGGAAACGACTAGAGTTACGCTTCTGGTATAACTTCCTATTCTGTGTATGGGCGTGCTTATGAGGATCCCTTATTTGGGTGTCTCATGAGCACGCTCATTTATATACCAAATCACGGTAATACTGGTGGTGCTCAAGAGCATACTGGATTTTAGTACATATATGGGTGTGCTTATGAGGATCCCTTATTTGGGTGTCTCATGAGCACGCTCATTTATATACCAAAATAAGATAATACTGGTTGTGCTTATGAGCATACTGGATTTTGGTACATATATGGGTGTGCTTATGAGGATCCCTTATTTGGGTATCTCATGAGCACGCTCATTTATATACCAAATCACAGTAATACTGGTGGTGCTCAAGAGCATACTGGATTTTAATACATATATGGGCGTGCTTATGAGGATCCCTTATTTGGGTGTCTCATGAGCACGCTCATTTATATACCAAAACACGGTAATACTGGTCGTGCTCATGAGAATACTGGATTTTAGTAGATATATGGGTGTGCTTATGAGGATCCCTTATTTGGGTGTCTCATGAGCACGCTCATTTATATACCAAAACACGGTAATACTGGTTGTGCTCATGAGCATACTGGATTTTGGTACATATATGGGCGTGCTTATGAGGATCCCTTATTTGGGTATCTCATAAGCACGCTCATTTATATACCAAATCACGGTAATACTGGTGGTGCTCAAGAGCATACTAGATTTTAGTACATATATGGGCGTGCTTATGAGGATCCCTTATTTGGGTTTCTCATGAGCACGCTCATTTATATACCAAAATACGGCACTGGTTGTGCTCATGAGCATACTGAATGATTTCGTGTATAGATACAGTACGATGAGCGTGCTCATGAACATACGGAATTTTGGTATGCTCATAAGCACTTATGGATTAAATTCTCAGTGATTGGAATTATTATTAGGATTGGGATTCCAGTGCTCAAAACACAAAGGATAGCACGGAAAGCCCAATGCCTGGGCTTGTTAATATTTGATTAAAATATTCGAATTTTTAATAAAACTGTTATATATGGCGACAATATAAAAATATTCAGATAACAATTTCTGTAGTTCTAGTTGTCTAAGTTACAGTTATGCCTGTCGTGTTGTTCACTTTTTTCGATCTTAATTCTCCTCCAATTCTCGCATTGAAAGACGTTACGGAATGCTTTCATTGAAGGCGTTGTGGATTCGTTAATACAGGGATTCTACAAAAAAGGAAACGTTTGTGCGTAACTTGTGAAAAATTAACTACAAATTAAACGTTTATGAAGAATTGTTTCTATGTGTCAGTCTAAAGTGATAGAGTTCTCCAGTATAAATAACGTTAGTCTACTTTTCCTCCTGTAGGTTGTACTAACACTGGAGCAATAAATTAAGGATTACTCTTTACTGGTCCTCTTGGACGAACCAGCGGAAGAACAATATTTGGAAGATATAAATTGAGCTACAATTCTTACCGGCTCTTTTTTATGCTTGGCACTTCTTGTTGAAGACCTGATCGTGGTGTCTGAAACTATACGTCGACAACAGAATGAAAATGTATACAGGTTTAATTTATACACTAGTGTAGATTTCAATAACAAAAGAAGAGAGGGACGCTGTGCATGGTTAGAGCTATTGTCTGTATTATTAGCAACAGGTCATATCATTCACATTTGGATTATTTAAACCTTTAGAAATATCGTCTTTAACCTACATGGATGCAGGTTTATTAGCATAGCATGACCAGTTGCCATGGTTAGCTTTGCCACAGGTATCATAGCGTTATTGTAAGAGTTGGGGTTTAGAAGAACACTAAAAAAGACGAAGAAGATTCTCAAATCATGAGCTAACCTGTTGTTCTGTCATTGAGACTCCGTCAAGAACTGGTGTCCTCGCTATAGCACTCTTCTGCATCTCCGCCACTTTACTACGATCCAATAACCGCACGGTTGAATTGACCAAAAATTTCCCTCCATGCTGGCTGGTTGCTATCAATGGAGCTGCATTCTTCAAAGCAATATTTACTTTAACGTTGCTAGGTATTCCAATTTTACCATTCGAGAAATTCCCCTTGGTCAGTAAGATATCGGAGGTGATGTGTAATGCCATCAGTGGACTTTCTGTTGGTTTCACATCAGAATGAAGAACGTGCTGTTTGAAAAGATTTTCTAAAGCTTCTACACGAGATTCTAAAAATCTTGCTTCTTGTATTGCATCGCACTAGGGGAAGACGAAGATAAATTAGTGAATTATGGTTAGCATATAGTTAACTGATATTAGTTAGACTGGATTATAGCTCCGTAAGTTCTAAATTGTTCTTCCTATTAGAGGTCCAATAAAGCAATAAGGATCACCTCTTATTGATCCAGTGTTACTACAGAAGGAAACCTTAAACCTAAACTAACTTTGTACTGGATAGCTCTAACCTGTTCTCTCTAGAGTTCCCGTACAGGCCAACACTTTTAGATCCAGTGTTACTACAGAAAGAACTTAAACTGTTTTCATACTGGGTAGTCGATGAAACTGTTCTCTCTCGAGTTAGTAACCACTTGCCATCAGTCAATATACTTACTATTTCGACTGGACAAAATCCAGGATCACCTGGTTCTCCTTGTAGTCCTGGAATGCCAGCGATTCCAGGCGGTCCTATGTCGCCCTTGAAGGGAAATAAAGAAATCATTTTTTTCTTCTAAATGCTAAAGTTAGATATTGTATCAAGTTGCAGGTAGTAGTATATCTCTCACAATCCTTTCACAACAAAGCTGTCTACCTTACCATTGGTCCGTCTAACCCAGTTGACCCATATCGACTTTTCAAATGTAACAATATTTTACCCTGAAATTTAAGATAAATGTTAAATATCTTCAGTTCAGGATATAACGAATATATATAAATAGGTATTTATGTGCATGCATGCAACAGCATGAATCTGATGAGTTCAGTAGTTCACCAAGGACTATATATAATGAATCTACTACACAGTAGATTGCGGCCAACCTGCAATTATCACAGAGTGAAAATATTACTAGAGTACTGGTTATTGCACTATTGCACCAATGGCCACGTTTCCATGCGGATATTCCCTGTCGTCGTGTTCTTACATGCAAAACTTTTGAATCATAACAAGTATAAACCAACTTACGTTTTTAGCAGGTACGGCTTCAATGTTAAACCTCTTGTCTTGTAATCCCGGAGGAAATTGAAAAGATTGGACAAATAAAGTCAACCAAATGCACAAGCGAAGAGTATATCCACATGCATTATTGTCAAAATCTCGATACATTTTAGTCGTTCAATTGTGTTAAGATTAAAAGAAGATTCTTTGTCTTTAATATTTACATTCTGTTAAACACGTAAGATTTCACTATTATAGCGAAGCAACAAAACTAAATCTTCTCCAACAGACAAATGATGCAGCTTTTGTAATTCCCGTTGAATTGAATTAGATGGTTGAAAACCGTTCCGCAATATCTTTAGCGGTCGAGAAATTATTTCCACTACTTGATACGAATCTGATCTTTGTAATTCAAACAAAATCTTAAAAGTTTTACTACTTGTGTAGTCTGTAGAACTGAGACTCGGTCCGAGCGGGTACCGGCAACATAACAGTAGTAGACAAAACTATTATGGTTATAAAAGAGTCGAACTTGAAGTTATGATCGCCTGGTTAAGAAAATTTTACAACTCAGTAAATTAAGCAAATACAGTAAATCAAAATGCGATAAATATCTATATTGAATGGATCTTTTTAAAGCGTTGTTGAGGGCACGTACATTCATTAAAATATTGGCTGATTTTCTACACCAGTCTTCTAAATTACTTTTGAAGGCAAGTCAACTCGTAGCTGACTTTTCAATTCCTATTTTGGTTATTCAACCGAATCTATTTTCATTGATCTTCAGCAGTATATTTCAATATACATATGTTCCGGTTCTGTAAAATGGTCCTACATCAAGGTTAATATTTGTTATCCCTTGTGATTTGCTCGCTGAATAGAATTGTGATGTAAATCCAGTTATAATTAAAATAAGAGTACAGATAGATAGAACTTTTATTTAAACACGCTAACCATTGTCAACCTAGGCTGATTTCCACAAGGGGCGTGTACAATAATGACATTACAAAGATATAGTATATATAGTAAGATATTACATATAGTAAGAAATATATATATATATAGGTATAAGAATAATGCTATTAAAAAATGTGAGTATTCAAAAATGTGAGTAGCGATTTTAGTTTCAAAGGACATGATGGAGTTGCTCTCTCTAATTTCTGTTGGAAAAGAGTTCCAAATGTGTGCCCCGTCAAACATGAAACTTTTTTCAAGCTATTTGTACGCGGCTGTGGTAAGCAAAGAGTACTTTCAACATCTCGAAGTTTATAATTTGTCATTTCACTTTTGAAAGTAAATAAATCAGTAAGTGATTTAGGACCCATTTTATTCAACAATTTAAACATCAGTTTGGACTTAGCTTTTATTCTTTCCGTGGCTTCCAGTCCAAAGCATCTAAAGCAACCAGATGATCTATCGTATATTTATCTATCTACCGTATATTTATCGTCTTATACCTTGGAACTATCAGGGATTTCCTCTTTACTCATGTAAAACTCGCCTGACACCAGAAAGCCTTTGTTTCCAGGGTAGAGTACGATTTCATGTTTTGTTCAAATTGGAAAACTCCATAAATATTTTTACAACTCCAAGGTATATGTTTTACATACACCCTGCTAGTTCCAAGACGATAAATATACGGTATATATACGATAAATATACGATAAATATACGATAAATATACGATAAATATACGATAAATATACGATAAATATACGATAAATATACGATAAATATACGATAAATAGATTATTCTGTGCATTATGGTGTTGCCCCCACGACCTACTTTATCACAGAACTTATGTATGTTTACTACAGTAACATTATATACAGTACAGTAACATTTTACAGTACAGTAACATTATGTAGTACAGTTAAATTGTACAGTACAGTATAGTAACATTATACAGTACAGTAACATTATACAGTAAAGTTAAATTGTACAGTTATATTATATACATTTAAGTGAGCGTCTTCATTGTCTGAGTGTCTGTCTGCAGAAGACGAATTCTCTGACTCTCCACTGTGGTAACCCTTACTATCCATCTCAACAGCATCGTTGTTTCGGCCTAGGGAATGTTCACTTCGTACGGATGCGTTCGGTGAACTGTGGCGTGTCTCTTCGTTCTCTATATTGAACAAAGTTTATGTGGACGTTAGTTATTCTTTTGTTTCTCAATAGGCACATTTCGAATTTGTTGACTAGCAAAGAAAACTACATATTTACAATGGATTATATTCAGTCCGCCTCGAAATTTAAAACATGTAGTTACAAGAGTCTGGTAATGAAAAAGATATGAGTTAAACATCAAATAGAAATTACTAAATGATTCATTGATTTGTGTGAAGAGATAAAGTGCAGCACGGGATGGCCCTTTTAACAATCTGGAATTGATATACCCATCCAGTATAATAAAGTGACCGCAAGTAAACAGGTCCACAAAGATTTAATCATGCACTGTCGGCAAAAAAATGTTTCCAACATTCCTTGAGGCAGGAGACATTAACGTATAGATCACCTTCATGTTCATTCGCTTCCTCAGCGACAGAAATGTTCAGGTTATGTGCACCGCATTCAGATTTACTGCTCATCGCATTCTTTTCAACCATCTCCGGATTTATATCTGAATCGCCTGTCTTGCTCGGTAAACTCGAGGAATCTGGGACAACAAACGATGTCGTTTGGTTAGTTTGAGTGTAAAAGCCCATTTCCACTCAAGAAAATTTTCCACGGACAGCAAATTTTTCGAAAATATCATTGTTAAAAGTTCAAAATTTCTTCAGACGGAAAATTTGTGTCGGCCAATCACATTTCACAAAACTTTCTTTCCGCGGATAATTTTCCTGAATGGAAATGGGCCTTATAAGTATCCATGAAAAGAATGGAATTGCTAATTAACATAAAAATATAAAACATGAAATGTTAAAACCGAAACCAATGTTTCCCTACTCATTGAACGGCCAACACGTTTTGTGCCAAAGCTGCTTGACAAGGAACTTCTCTTTGTAATGCTGTCGTGGACGACCTCTCGCATCTGGAAAACATAAAACAAAGTATTTTCCAAGACTTTTGAGTGATTTAACTGGCTAGCGAAAAGCCTAACTCGCTTAAAACGTTATTTTACCACAGCAGCTTATTGTAAAATATTACCTACAATGGATGTCAGATATCGTCCATCCTTACCTGTTTATTAAGAACACAATGGAATAGGAAAATGAACAATCCTTGCGCTGAATTAAACACGGCAAAAAGATAACGGAAGACCACTGTTTCTCTGTTGAAAGTCATTAAGCCAAACACCCAAGTCAAACCAAGGATTGGGAAGATTGCCATAGCTGTTTTTACACCAGTTTTCACTTTAGCAATACTGGTCTGTTGCTCGACTGTGTGAAAATTCTTCATTGTACGTAGAATCATCACAAACACGAAAATGTTGGCCTGTATGGAAGACGAAAGAAATATAGACACCTGTTATTGTGATACCTTTGTATATATTGGACAGCTTTATCTAAAATTCTCTTCAAATAGATAGAGCGAATGTCATTTTTATTGATCCATGCAGTGTTACTACAGGAGGAAAACTAAATTATAGCTCTATCAGTTCTAAACTAATGCCCGAAGAAATACAGTAAGGGTCATTTGAGAACCATTTGGTTCGGCAAACATTGCGGTGTTCGTATTTACGCTGTTCGTCCCGAAATACCTCACGTTTGTTGTAACTATCGAGATGAAAGCACCTACCAATATGACGAAAACAGCAGGCCCCACAAACGCCCAAATCACTTTACTTCCAACACTAAGCCAACATGAAGATTCTGTGCCATATCCTTCACCCTGAGTCGTTCCAAGCGATACAACAACAATCAGTAAAGGAATGCCTGTTAGGGATACAGGATTTATCATTACTCGTTCTTCATTTAATACCGAAAACACTTGTCTATAAGACTACTTACCCCAGCCAATAAAATTAAAGATCTTCCAATGTTTGCCACGCACGCCTTCAAATACTCTGATGAGTAAGAAGTACAGTAATATTCCCTCACACAACATCCATCCAAATGCTGACAACACAAAGAAATGCAGGAGAGCCGCAACTGCTTTACAGGAATTCTGCTGAAAATAAATCAGACATATATTGTCGGTTTTACTGAGTTGCCTGCCAGGAATCAAGAATCGAAACCTAATCAGAAAGGTGAAATATTACATGCACTGACCACTATGACACCAACATCCCATTGTAAAAAAGTTAAACATTTTAAGAAAACCAAACTTACCGAGCTGTCTTTTGCAACACCCTCAAGGATGGCAAAGACATCGGTAAATCCAATAGCAACACATAAACTGACTAAAATTTTGGCGCGAAGCGACTTCACTTGTTTCCAAAAAAGAGCTTGCATGAGAATTGTCAACACGATGCCGACCAATGATATGGAACATCCGACGGTGGAAATCATCTCCAATATCTTACGTTCAGACTCCGTTAGCTGAAAAAGGTGAACGAATATGAAATATTAGGTAACGCTTCTTTCAAATGCACTGAATGAATTCGTATGCATTTCCGTCTAACAAATAGCACTAGACAAACTTTCGTTCGGAATTAGTCTAAGTTTGATAAAACAAGTTTGGTCACATCAAAATTTTCTGGTTGTACAAATAAAATGCATTGTACCAAAATACTCTACTCTCAACCTACAGTAGCAGGCATATCTCAGACGTAAGTGGCAGTATGCTAACTCCTGATATTCTGCCTTGCTCCCCATGATAGCCTGAGTCAGCCTGAAGTGATCCATCTTACCTGCACACCCGAAACATCCATCATGACAGCAAAAGCAGTGTTATGATCACAATCACAGGTAACACTTTCCACACTCGATTCAGCTTCATTCAATGTACATCCTTCACTGCTCAATATACTATTGTTTTTGTCAGGCTCAAAAAACGCACACGTTCGTCTTGGGTCTTCATAACCAGTCTAAGAAAAATTCGTAAGTGCATACCAGTAATTGCTGGTATAAAATGTTTTGGCGGGGTGTTGGGACGCAGTAATTACTATTTACCTTTGTGTCCAGGGTTTGATTTCTGGTTGTCAGATTATAATTTCATCTCAGTCGCATGTAAGACCAGTACTTCCAGTTGGACTCTAGCAGATACCACAAATTTTCTCCAGGAACTCTGGTTTTACCCAGAAGTAACACTAGACCAATAACTCAAGGCCCTTACTGGACTTCCATGGAGAACAGTTTCGAACTGATAGAGCTATCCAGCATAAACAAAGTTAGTCTAGCGTCTTCACTTCCTCATCTAACCATCCCGCAAACCACAAGCACCCATACCAGGTTATTCTGCAGTACAATCTTAAAAGGTTCAGACACGGACTTATTCTTAAGCTGTGGTTCGGTTGTGAAAGATACAATAGTACTTCTGATTGTCAACGATTCAGTCGATCCTATAGTACTATCCACGGTTTCCTTCAACTGTATCTCAGATAAAATATCCTTGATTGAACTATACTGCACTACAGTTGCTAGGTCGATTTCATTGGTCACAACATCAGGGACAATCACACCCTGTCCTCCTGTGTCCAGCAAGCTGATATCTTTAGGTTCGAATTCGGTGGGTTTTACTGTTGGTAGACGTATTCCACGCACGGCTATGTTTGGTGTACTATATGAGACAACTTTTCCTGTTTCCGCACTTTGTGAGATGTAGTTCTTTGCATTGAGATCTGTGCCACTTATAATCTGCTTCGCTAAATCATTTCTAGCCTGGAAAACAAAAACAATTATGGCTGAGTCACTACATGCATAATAAGTTGACAATATATTTCATGAAAAAAATACAACTAGGTATTATTATTGTCTACTACAAATTACCATCACAAGCTGCTTTTCGTGTGTGGTATTTTGGACAATAAAATACTTGCATGTCATCTTACCGGTATATTTTTCCACACATCCTTTCTCTTCTGACTCACTATATTACTTGATGAACGAATAAAATTTTGACGATCATTTTGTGTTTTCGTTCTCTTCTTTGTCTTCTCCAAAATGTACACAATGTTTTCAACATCTTTTTCATAAAGTTTACCGTCTTCTGTAACTTTTTCAGTTTCCCCCAAGATATCGCTGATATTCTCCGATTCAAACCCTTCGTCTAGTCTAGAGATCTGTCAAAAGATAAAGTTGTTTTCAATCTTCGTCCGGTAGTTCAGATACAAACCACGATAGATTAGTTTATATAAGTTCAATTGAAGGAACAGTTAGATGGATTTTAGTGACATGTTTGACAATTACCTTATCAACAAGGTTGATAACAACACGACTTCTACAGTTGGAGAGATTCACATCACCCCAAACAGGCTGACGACCATCATTACTCTTACAAAATCGAGTTACAGTTCCTGGAAATGAATTTTTTATCAGTGGTTCGTTTATTCTAGTTAAACCCAAATACCATAACACAAATAGTTTAAAAAAACTGCACCTATTGTCCCAACAGGACAATTTTTAATCACCGAAGTGCCAACTGGTGTTTTTTCCCAAGTATACCCACTTCCATTATCTTCCAAGCAAAACTCATTAAAATCTAAAAAAAACAACAAAGAAAAAGACTTCAAGCAATGAATGATGGAGGTGGGTTTTTATCAATAATTCATAAACATAGATAAACGTAACAAAACATTTAACAAGGCAGTTTTACCTCGAGATATTATATACACAGTAACATTCTGGCTTCGTCCGGGACCGTCCGAGTTCTTAGCGAAACACCAATATTCTGCCTTGTATCTCTGATCACCATCAGACAGCTCAATACTGGATAAATCCAGTTTTCTGGTTTGACCAACAGAACCAGACTGTTTAGAATTGTACCACATAACTTCGATATTTTCTTCATCACCAACAGAAATCTTACACGTTAACATTATTGTATCACCTGAATGAAAAACATTATTGAGAAAAAATGTATGGAATTTGGTAGTCACATTTTCGAAAAAATTAACGTACCATGGAATGAAATTAACGAGTGTTAACTGCCGCTGTCACCCACTTCTCTCACATATATAATTCAAATGCTTGGTTACGTTTGTTCCATTGTATGATTTATACATTAACAGAACAGTGGTAACTAGGCATGTGAGGTAACCGAAAGTTGAAAAGTAAGTGGGAACAGACATAAATAGTTTGTGTTAGCATGTAACTTCCATCTTCCAAGATTGCAAGCCATTACCTGATCTCGCCTGTGCGTACGCACTCTTGCTAATGTATCCTAAAGGATGTATGCTTTACCTTCAGTAGCAGAAACAGATAACGGGAAAACTGCAACAACAGGAATAAGTTTAACTTCAACAGGAACACTACTGTTGATTGTGTCTTCCCCTTTACTAAGGCAAAAAGAAACACCATACATAAGACTTTACACTAAATCAAGACCATCACTATAGCATGGAGTGACACAATGGTTGGTGCATGTGTCTTTCAGCTGTGTCATCTGGGTTGGAATTGTGCAATATGTAGTTGTCCGATTAGAACTTTGCCTCAGCTGCCGACGAGAAGAAGAGTGCTTCTGGCTTGACGTCATCAAACATTGCAGGTTTACTCTACGTAATCCTGTAGTACTGAAATATTGGGCCAAGGATGGTAGGACCGAGTTTGCTGTCTTCTGAGACACCGGATGTAACAGAAGAACAATCTGAAGCAATTCCATCAACGTATCCACGTAGTTCATGGACGAATTATTATTTTCAAACGCGCTTACCTGGCTATACAATAATAATTGCCAGAATCAGGTTTCGCAGTTTTACGGACAAAAAGTTTTGAAACTTTATCGTTGTTTTCAATCTTTACTCTTGTTGATAAGGATAGAATCATGTTATTTTTCCTCCACTCAAAGCTCGGAAGAGATGGTCCAGTAACAGTACATGTTATCTCCAACATGCCTCCAGCATATCCACTGTACTGTACGTCCATTTGAACATCTGTAAATGCTAAACGTAAACAGAAGGCTAGATGGGAGAGTAGCCTAGGTTATCCAATACTTACTTGGTATATCAGTAATAGTTAATGAACCATGCACAACAGAAAAGTTACCAAGGATGCCACTTTTATGGAGCGCACTCAGCGATTACTTAGAATTAATCAAGGTAACTGATGTAATATAGTGTCGATATATCTCTACAGTCAATAAAAACAGATTTGCGTACAACACATAAAAGACAAAAAAGGTCCAGACTATAGTTCACATCCTTGAACATGACTTGACCTCAGTCAAGACAATTACGACCAAATGAAAACCAGAGTTTAGAGTTCATGACACTGTGACGCGCTTTGACATTCTTGCCACAAAAATGAAGATTGCATACCTGTACAACTAAATCCATCTCCAGAAAATCCAATTCTACATCGACACTCAAAAGAGCCGTCATTGTCTGTACAGCTGGCATTGGCATGACATGGGTACAACAAACATTCATCAATGTCTACAAAAGAATAACAAACAATACATCATTCGAAGAAAGGTAGAAAATTTCAAACAATTGAACGAAAGATTCACTTACTGGAACAATTAAATCCGTTTCCAGAATAACCAAGATTACAGTCACAGTCAAAAGAACCTTCATTGTCAGTACATGTAGCATTGCGATGACATGGGTTGCCTTGAGAACATTCATTGATGTCTAAAAAGATTATACCAATGACAAACAATAAGTGATTGAAAAAGGTAACATATTTTAGACACATCAATGACAAACTTACTTACTAGAACACTTAAATCCAGTTCCATTATACCCAACATTACATTCGCAAACAAAAGAACCTTCATTGTCAGTACATGTAGCATCGGGATGACATGGCTTGCTTGAACATTCATTGATGTCTAAAAAGATTATACAAATAACAAACAATAAGTTATTGAAAAAAGGTAAAATATTTTTGACACACCAATAAAAAGTTTACTTACTTGAACAATTAAATCCATTTCCAGAATACCCAACATTACATTCACAGACAAAAGAACCTTCATTGTCAGTGCAGGTAGCATTGGGATGACATGGGTTGGTTGAACATTCATTGATGTCTAAAAATATAGTATACAGGTATAACAAGCAACAAGTGATTAAAAAAGGTAGAATATTTTAGACACACAAATGAAAAATTTACTTACTAGAACAATTAAATCCGTTTCCAGAAAACCCAACATTACATTCACAAACAAAAGAACCTTCATTGTCAGTACAGGTAGCATTGGGATGACATGGGTTGGTTGAACATTCATTGATGTCTAAAAATATAGTATACAGGTATAACAAGCAACAAGTGATTAAAAAAGGTAGAATATTTTAGACACACAAATGAAAAATTTACTTACTAGAACAATTAAATCCGCTTCCAGAAAACCCAACATTACATTCACAAACAAAAGAACCTTCATTGTCAGTGCAGGTAGCATTGGGATGACATGGGTTGATTAAACATTCATTAATATCTAAAAAGATTATACAAGTGACAAACAACAAGTGATTAAAAAAGGAAGAATACTTTAGACACACCAATAAAAAGTTTACTTACTTGAACAATTAAATCCATTTCCAGAATACCCAACATTACATTCACAGACAAAAGAACCTTCATTGTCAGTACAGGTAGCATTGGGATGACATGGGTTGGTTGAACATTCATTGATGTCTAAAAATATAGTATACAGGTATAACAAGTAACAAGTGATTAAAAAAGGAAGAATAATTTAGACACACCAATAAAAAGTTTACTTACTTGAACAATTAAATCCATTTCCAGAATACCCAACATTACATTCACAGACAAAAGAACCTTCATTGTCAGTACAGGTAGCATTGGGATGACATGGGTTGGTTGAACATTCATTGATGTCTAAAAATATAGTATACAGGTATAACAAGCAACAAGTGATTAAAAAAGGTAGAATATTTTAGACACACAAATGAAAAATTTACTTACTAGAACAATTAAATCCGTTTCCAGAAAACCCAACATTACATTCACAAACAAAAGAACCTTCATTGTCAGTGCAGGTAGCATTGGGATGACATGGGTTGATTAAACATTCATTAATATCTAAAAAGATTATACAAGTGACAAACAACAAGTGATTAAAAAAGGAAGAATACTTTAGACACACCAATAAAAAGTTTACTTACTTGAACAATTAAATCCATTTCCAGAATACCCAACATTACATTCACAGTCAAAAGAACCTTCATTGTAAGACGTACAAGTGGCGTTGTCATGACATGGATTGCTCGAATATTCATTGATATCTAAAAAAAGATCACGCAAATAGCAAACGTAATTGGTAGGCTAGATATAACTATGATAAAGACACACCATCAACTACAAAATAAAACAAAACAAGAAAAAAGTTTCTAATAGTAAACAGTTTATTTGACTTGCATGGCAATTCGACAAAAAGTTCGTTTCTTTGGGCGATATTTTAAAATGTGCAGTGTAAAACAATTGATGAACAAGTGGCGGTTAATGTGCTAGTGAATTATGGTAAACTGATTTATGTCAATGAGTGGTGGGCATTGATTACCTTCGCATTTACAATAGAAGTAAAATGTTCAGATTTGACTTCCACTACCGTTACCATTAACCAATCAAATGCGTTTAATCCACACGAATCAAATGCGTATTAAACCACTGACAAGAAGTGAGGGGAATTTGGCACGAAGGCTATCTGTATTGTCATTAGCCATATACATACCGCAAATTTCTTTAGAAGATGTTGGAGTGCTAATACATTGATATTCAAAGTAGAGATACATTGTCAATCCAGGACATGGATCACCAAAGAACAAGTTGCCATCCACAGTTATATTACACTCACGTTGACCATCACATTGGTTCTTAACAAGACATGTTACATTAACTTCATAACTATAATCATCACTCAAACCACATGTCTTGTTGGTAGACAATCCACGGTAAGATGCATTCTTGACCACCATGTACTGATCTTTAGGACAGTTGGCATTCTCTACCATATTTCCATGACACGTCACTGAACCTGGAACAGAACAAAAACTTAGAAATGACGAGCACTAAATGAAAATAAAGTAAAATAAAGTAATGTTGAGATCATTTACTATATACAGCTAAGTTTGAATACAAGTGGTTTCCGTTTATCCTCTAGACTAGCTTAACGGCAATTGTGGGTACGTGAGAAATTTAATAAGTAAATATGAAAAGCAAACTGCAAAACCACAAATAAGAACTTTTACTGTGCAAAGGCATAAAACAAATTAACTGCATACAAATAAAAACAACTTACCAAAATTAAAACGTTTATCCTCTGCATCGTTACAATCTTTCGTCAATGCGATGTAGGGATCTATTCCTGGGTTTGTAGCAAGTCGATCATCTTTACCAGGGACTGCACATCGCGTCCCTTTACGACGTACTTCATATACAGATAAACCTCCCCAAGAGGTCTGGGTTATAGCATGGTCCTTATCACGACAATTAGCTGAAGGATCTGTAGCAACGAACAAATACAACATAGGAAGATAATAACCAAAATCACTCCTAACTGTTCCCTCGAAACATCCCTTTCTTTCCAAATTGAACATGGCACTATTATCAAGAAACCGAGACTGAGCAGCTGGATCCAGACAGTTGTTGGAAAGTTCCACAAAAGTTAAGCTTCCCCAAGACTCGTTCGTCTGTAGTACACTTGTGACATGAATACACATCCCTGACTGCACATGTTTCACGAAGAAACAAGCAGCGCCTGAAACAGAAAAACAAAAATAAAAATAAATAACGCAGTAAATAATGGACTCCTGTTGCGCTTCTGTGTGCTTGTGTTTACACACGCAAAAATCTCACATCTTGTAGCAAGTCTGCCAACAAGCCGTCTCCGGCAACCTTGTAACATTCTTGTTATATCATGACTGCATTAGACTTGTTGTTAACAGCTTGTTCCAAACTTGTTACAACAACTGGGGACAAGCAGTGGAAACACAACTTGTCGACAGCTTGTTTCTTGTGCGTTTTACGTGTGTTGATGGTATAGTGTCTTTGACATGCTTTTGAAATTGCATGGATAACCAATATCAAACATTCCTAAATGTTTCTTTGTTGTCTATAGTGGTTAAATTACAGTATTAATGAAGTTGAATATGTTGGAAAGAGACATATAGTTAAAATCGAACAACTGGCGACTAAGCAAGACAACAATAACTTGGAACACATTTTCGTGGCATATATTTTGGGCAGAGAAGTGCTCGAAAACAGTTCCGGCCGAACTGTCTAGAGGCTCTCGGTAATCTAAGTTTTATCTAGAGAAACAGGCGAATCTCTGGACTCCAGAGGGCATGCCGTTGACTCTGTGCCTGTCGTTCAGCGAGTTGAAACCTAGTTGGACTGGTGAACAACTATTGGTATAGGGCACATTACCCAGGGTACTCAAAGCTGGCTGAGGATACATGCAAAAACTGTAGGTTGTTCTAGAGGAACAGGCGGACCTCTAGATAACAGGGGAACAGGCGAACCCCCGTTCAGATCCGTCAGGCCGTCGACATTGAGACCTAGTTGGACTGGTGAACAACTATTGATATAGGGCAGATTACCCGGGCAGCAACTGATAACCTGACTGACCACATCGAGTCTCTAGGTCTGCTCATTCAGGTCTTCAGTGCGACCTGAATGAGCAGTGATTGCGCTTCACGTGGTGAAGTGCGTCTCTAGATGGTGTGTTGTAAGGACTGTTAATTAGAAAAATCAATATTCCTGTATAAAGCTAAGCATGTTACTCGTAGATTTGTAACCCACTTGTGTGAAGAAATGCAATAAATAATTATATACTGGCAGGGAAGTGTTGTAATGTATGGATTGTTGTGACGCAGATGCGTTGGCAGACTGAAAACACCCTCGAGCAAATGGAGTCTTCTAGAACATATTATCATTACCGTATTTACTCGTTTGAGCGCCGCCCCCGATTCAGCGCCGCCCCCGATTGAGCGCCGCCCTCGAATGAGCGCCGCATTTGAGATCAAATTTTTTTAAAGAGCGCCGCCCCCGGATGAGCGCCGCACTAAACAGTGTAATAATTTTCCACCGTCAAATGGGGACATTTAGTCACAAAGACATTCAAAACTTGTTTATTTTATTGTTAAAAGTTCAGTGATATAATTCACAAATAAAAGATGTTTTTAAAGAGCGCCGCCCCCGATTGAGCGCCGCATCTGAAGCTCTGAAAATTTAAAGAGCGCCGCGGCGCTCAATAACCGCAATTTATAGCTTTGCTTAAATTGAGTATTTTACGAAATCTTAAAATCTCATGCATCAAGCTAATGCAACATGCATCAAGATAAAGCAAGCTAATTAACTAAACTGGTTGACTATTTAGTCGCTCTGTACAGTACATTGTTTATTGCAAGCAGTTATTCTGATCCATTCCTCATAAATTTAACTTCGCTCCGACAACGGCAGAGTTTGGAATAATTAGTGCCTGTGGAGTTTAATCGAATCCTTCACATTAAGGCTGTAGTTTTAGTAGTTTTGAGATATAGTCATTACAGCTATGGAACCGCAAGGGAACCGATTGTGCTACTTAGCTTGATTAGCCCTTATGGTTATTTCTTTGTAGCCTTTACTCTATATTTGTGTAATGTATTTTTTTGTTGTAAATTATTGTATCACCTCAGAGTATTAAATTATGTTATCTTATCTTATCTTATCGCTATTATTAGACAAATAAGTACAGTAGCGCTGTACATTTGAAATACGTGTTATCAACGACATAAAACGTACCTTGTAGTGAGAGGAAAATCCATACCACTATTACAAACTGATAACACTTTGGTAACATCTTCTTCAATCCAGAAAACACCTCATAATTCGGTGAACAAGATGTTGGAATTCACGTTATAAACGCGGAACACGAAATGAATCAATGAAGCAAGACAAATAAATATTCCTTCCAACTCGACATAATTGGCTATAATTGCACGAATAACAAATATCAAACGTTTCTAAATGTTTGCTTCATGTCTGTTGTGGTTCAATGACGACATTTTGAAAGCTTAAAAACTCCAGCTCTAAGTATTTTTTGAGCAAGAATTTTAGTCAAATATTCTATTTTCATAATTTTTTTTATTCTCAGATACGGCACAAAAGCAGTTGCACCCTGCTGTGATGTTATGTTCTAGCAATTTTAATATTTAGAACAAATAATTTGGAACATTCTTGCAGGCATATTGATTCTCTCTTGTCTAATATTGGTGTGTTTCACTAATCACTATCGTGCAGCAGATTGTGGGCAACCTGAAGTGATATCAGAGTGAGAAAATCATGTCAAATCTTATTTCTGTTTAATCAATGTTATTCGAGAGTCAGGACGGATTATTATTAATTGGCCGATTTGCTCGTTGAATTAGGATTGTGATATAAATCCAGTTATAAATAAAAGTACAGTTACCCCGGCCCTAGATCTGGGATTTCCTCTTTCTTGTAAAACTCCCCTGACACCAGAAAACCTCTGTAGATCCGGGATAGAGTGCAATTTGATGTTTTGTTCAAAATATTTTTACAACTCCAAGGTATATGTTTTACATATACACCCTGCTAGTTCCAAGGTATAAGACGATAAATATACGGTATATAGATAAATATACGATAAATATACGACAAATATACGATAAATACAGGGCGTATAAACAAAACTGAACAGATATGAATTTGCTCTCAATTTCGCAAAACAGCTATTAGTATCCAGTTTTTGTTATATATAGCTTCTTTGGGTACTTATAATGTAGAATAATGAAAAAAATTTCTCGAACTCAAATTTCTCGAACTCACACCAGGAGGTGTGTCTTTTCCAACAAACTGAAAATGGCTTGCGCACGAAATTTAAAAGCTTTAATCATATTTTGAGTTAATAGATGGAACATTTGTTGGGTTTTTAATTACTGTACAAAATTTCAGACAATTTGCTTTAGTTTAAGCCCTTAAACTATTCACGCAAACTTACATTTTATCCTAAATATCAGCGATTTGCATGCTTAATTAATGCCTTTGCCTAATTTGCATATGTCAGCAATATGCAAATTACGTAAAGGCATTAATTAAGCATGCGAAATGCTGATTTTTTAGGAAAAATGAATAGCTAAAGGGGCTTAAACTAAAGCAAATTGTCTGAAATTTTGTACAGTAATTAAAAACCCAACAAGTTTTCCATCTATTAACTCAAAATATGATTAAAGCTTTTAACTTTCTTGCGCAAGCCATTTTAGTTTGTTGCAAAAGACACCCCCCCCCTGGTTCACAAAATTTGAGTTTGAGAATTTTTTTTCATTATTCTGCATTATAAGTACCCAAAGAAGCTATATACATCAAAAACTGGATACTAATAGCTGTTTCGGGAAATTGAGAGCAATTTCAAATCTGTTCAGTTTTTTTTATACACCCTGTATACGATAAATAGATTATTCTGTGCATTATGGTGTTGCCCCACGACCTACTTTATCGCAGAACTTGTTGCGTGCGGTATATTACTAAAGTAACATTATATAGTACAGTAACATTATACAGTACAGTAACATTATACAGTACAGTAACATTATACAGTACAGTAACATTATGCAGAACAGTAACATTATGCAGTACAGTAATATTATACAGTACAGTAACGTTATACGATACAGTAACATTATACAGTACAGTAACATTATACAGTACAGTAACATTGTACAGTACAGTAACATTATACAGTACAGTAACATTATACGGTGCAGTAACATTATACAGTAATATTATACAGTATAGTAATATTACACAGTTAAGTGAGCGTCTTCATTGTCTGAGGTTCTGTCTGCAGAAGACGAATTCTCTGACTCTCCACTGTGATAACCCTTACTATCCATCTCAACTGCATCGTTGTCTCGGCCTAGTGAATGTCCACTTCGTACGGACGCGTTCGGTGAACTGTGGCGTGTCTCTTCATTCTCTATATTGAACAAAGTTTATGTGGACGTTACGTATTCTTTTGTTTCTCAATAGGCACACTTCGAATTTGTTGGCTGGTAAAGAAAACTACATATTTACAATGGATTATATTGTCCGCCTCGATTTCAAGCTATTGCAGATTCCTGTGCACTCGGACACTCAAGCAAGTGTGGATACTTATTCTATGGTGTTAATCACAGAACAAAGTTATTTAAAACATGCACCTACAAGGTAATCTGGTAATGAAAAAATATGGGTTAATTATCAAATAGAAATCCATTTTCAGATTAAACCGATTACGAAATTATTCGCGTGAAGAGATAAAGTGCAGCATGGGATGGCCCTTTCAGCAATCTGGAATTGATATAGCCATCCGGTATAATAAAGTGACCGCAAGTAAACAGGTCCACAAAGAATTAATCATGCACTGTTGGAAATAAGTTTCCAACATTCCTAGGCAGGAGATATTAACGTATAGATCACCTTCATGATTATTCGCTTCCTCAGCGACAGAAATGTTCAGGTTGTTGTGTCCACCGCATTCAGATTTACTGCTCTCCGACTTCTCCAACTGTAGCATCGCATTCTTTTCAACCATCTTCTGGTTTAGACCTGAATCGCCTGTCTTGCTCGGTAAACTCGAGGAATCTGAGAGAACAAACGATATCGTTTGGTTATTTTGAGTGTAAAAATATCCATGGAAAGAATGGAATTGCTAATTAACTTATAAAGACATGGAACATAAAAATATAAAACATGAAATGTTAAAACCGAAACCAATGTTTCCCTACTCTTTGAACGGCCAACACGTTTTGTGCCAAAGCTGCTTGAAAAGGAACTTCTCTTTGTTATGCTGTCGTGCACGACCTCTCGCATCTGAAAAACATAAAACAAAGTATTTTCCAAGACTTTTGAGTGATTTAACTGGCTAGCGAAAAGCCTAACTCGCTTAAAACGTTATTTTACCACAGCAGCTTATTGTAAAATATTACCTACAATGGACGTCAGATATCTTACATCCTTACCTGTTTATTAAGAACACAATTGAACAGGAAAATGAGCATTCCTTGTGCTGAATTAAACACGGCAAAAAGATAACGGAAGACCAATGTTTCTCTGTTGAAAGTCATTAAGCCAAACACCCAAGTCAAACCAAGGATTGGGAAGATTGCCACAGCTGTTTTTACACCAGATTTCACTTTAGCAATATTGGTCTGTTGCTTGATTGTATGAAAGTTCTTCATTGTACGTAGAATCATCACAAACACGATCGTGTTGGCCTGTATGGAAGACGAAAGAAATATAGACACCTGTTATTGTGATACCTTTGTATATATTCGTTAGTTTTACATAAAGTTCACTTCAAATAGATAGAGCAAGGGTCATCCTTATTGATTCAGTGTTACTACAGGAGGAAAACTAAATTATAGTTCTATCAGTTCTAGAAGCTAGACTAATGCCCGAAGAAATACAGTAAGGGTCAATTGAGAACCACTTGGTTCGGGCAAAAATTGCGGTGTTCGTAATTATGCTGTTCGTCCCGAAACACCTCACATTTGTTGTAACTATCGAGATGAGAGCACCTACCAATATGACGAGGAAAGCAGGTCCCACAAACGCCCAAATCACTTTATTTTCAACACTAAGCCAACATGAAGATTCTGTACCATATCCTTCACCCTGAGTCGCTCCAAGCGAAACAACAACAATCAGTAAAGGAATACCTGTTAGAGATACAGGATTTATCATTACTTGGTCTTCATTTAACACCGAAAACACTTGTCTATAAGACTACTCACCCCAGCCAATAAAATTAAAGATCTTCCAATGTTTGCCACGCACGCCATCAAATACTCTGATGAGTAAGAAGTACAGTAATATTCCCTCACACAACATCCATCCAAACGCTGACAGTACAAAGAAATGCAGGAGAGCCGCAACTGCTTTACAGAAATTCTGTTGAAAATAAATCAGGCATATGTGTTGTCGCCTTTTTTGAATTGCCTGCCATTACAGCAGGAATCGAAACCTTGTCACAAAGGTGAAATATTACATGCGCTGACCACCATGACACCAGCATCCCATGGTAAAAAAGTTAAACATTTTAAGAAAAGGGAACTTACTGGGCTATCTCTTGCAACACCCTCAAGGATGGCAAAGATATCGGTAAATCCAATAGCAACGCATAAACTGACTAAAATTTTGGCCCGAGGCGACTTCACTTGTTTCCAGAAACAAACTTGCATGAGAATTGTCAACACGATGCCGACCAATGATATTGAACATCCAACGGTGGAAATCGTCTCCAATATCTTACGTTCAGACTCCGTTAGCTGAAAAAGGTAAAACGAATATGAAATATTAGGTAATGCTTCCTTCAAATGCACTGGATGAATTGGTATGCATTTCCGTCTAACAAATGGCACTGGACAAACTTTCGTTCGGAATTAGTCTGAGTTTGATAAGACAAGATTACTCATATCAAAATTTTCTGGTTGTACAAATAAAATGCATTGCACCATGTTTAAATTTTATTCACTCAAATTTGCGCAGTGAACAATCATCAATAATGATGAAGACACTAGGTTGGAGTGTTGAAACGTTGAAGAAAACACTCTACTCTCAACCTACAGTAGCAGGATTAACTCACAGGTAAGTGGCAGTGTGCTAACTCCTGGTATTCTGCTTTGCTCCCCATGATAGCCTGAGCCAGCCTGAAGTGATCCATCTTACCTGCACACCCGCAACATCCATCATGATAGCAAAAGCAGTGTTATGATCACAATCACAGGTAACATTTTCCACACTCGATTCAGCTTCATTCAATGTACATCCTTTACTGCTCCATATACTATCGTTTTTGTCAGGCTCAAAAAACGCACACGTTCGTCTTGGGTCTTCATAACCAGTCTAAGAAAAATTCATTAGTGTATTCCAGTAATTGCTGTTATAAAATGTTTTGACGGGGTGTTGGGGCGCAGTAGTTACCACATGTACTCTTTACCTTTGCCTTTGCCAAGGGTTTGATTTCTGGTTGTGAGATTATAGTTTCATCTCAGTCCCATGTAAGACCAGTATTTGCAGTTTAACTCTAGCAGATACCACAGATTTTCTCCGGGAACTCCAGTTTCACCCAGAAGTAACACTGGACCAATAAAGCATTGCCCTTACTGGACTTCCATGGAGAACAGTTTAGAGCTGATGGAGCTATCCAGTATAAACAAAGTTAGTCTAGAGCCTTCACTTCCTCATCTACCCAGCCTGCAAACCACATACCTGGTTATTCTGTAGTACAATCTTGAAAGGTTTAGACGCTGAATCATTCTTAAGCTGTGGTTCGATTGTGAAAGATACAATAGTACTTCTGATTGTCAACGAATCAGTCGATCCTATGGTATTATCCACGGTTTCCTTCAACTCTTCTCCAGATAAAATATCCTTGATTGAGTTATATTGCACTAAAATTGCTAGGTCGATTTCATTTGTCACAACATCAGGGATAATCACACCCTGACGTCCGGTGTCCAGTAAGCTGATATCTTCAGGATTGGTGGGTTTTACTGTTGGTAGACGTATTCCACGCACGGCTATGTTGGGTGTACTAAATGAGACAATTTTTCCTGTTTCCGCACTTTGTGAGATGTAGTTCATTGCATTGAGATCTGTGCCACTTATGATCTGCTTCGCTAAATTATTTCTGGACTGTAAAACAAAAACAGTTATGGTTGAGTCCATAATAAGTTGATAATATATTTCATGAGCAAAACACAACTACGTATTATTATCTTCATACCAGGATAACAAACGTGCTTCTATAAATTAGTTAACTTTCATGTTGAATTTCTCTTCATATATACTGCAGCGGTTTCGCTGTTTCAAATTACCATCAGAAGCTGCTCTTTTCGTGTGTGGTATTTTGGATAATAAAATACTTGCATGTCATCTTACCTGTATATTTTTCCACACATTCTTTCTCTTCTGACTCACTATATTACTTGATAAACGAATAAAATTTTGACGATCATTTTGTGTTTTCGTTTTTTCCTTTGTCTTCTCCAAAATGTACACAATGTCTTCAACATCTTTTTCATATAGTTTACCGTCTTCTGAAATTTTTTCAGTTTCGCCCAAAATGTCACTGATATCCGCGGATTCAAACCCTTCATCTAGTCTAGAGATCTGTAAAAAGATAAAGTTGTTTTCAATCTTCTTCATGTGGTATAGACACAAACCACGATAGATTTGTTATATAAGTTCAATTAAAGGAACAGTTAGATGGATTTTAGTGACAAGTTTAACAATTACCTTATCAACAAGGTTGATAATAACAGAACTTCTACAGTTGGAGAGACTCACATCACCCCAGACAGGCTGACGACCATCATTACTCTTACAAAATCGAGTCACAGTTCCTGGAAATGAATTATTTATCAGTGGTTCGTTTATTCTAGTTAAATCCAAAGACCATAACACAAATAGTTAAAAAAAATGCACCTATTGCTCCAGCAGGACAATTTTTAATCACCGAAGTGCCAACTGGTGTTTTTTCCCAAGTATACCCACTTCCATTATCTTTCAAGCAAAACTCATTAAAATCTAAAAAGAACATTAATAAGGAAAAAGCACAGTCAATGAATGGAGGAGGTGGGTTTTACTAAGAACTATCATGCACACTATCATGCAGCAGATGTGAGTATATCAATAATTCATAATAAACATAGATAAACAACATGAACATTTAACAAGGCAGTTTTACCTTGAGATATTATATACACAGTAACGTTCTGGCTTCGTTCACGACCGTCCGAGTTCTTAGCGAAACACCAATAGTCTGCCTTATATCTCTGATCACCATCAGACAGTTCAATATTGGATAAATCCTGTTTTCTGGTTTGACCAACAGAACCAGACTGTTTAGAATTGTACCACATAATTTCGATATTTTCCTCATCACCAACAGAAACCTTACACGTTAACATTATTGTATCACCTGAATGAAAAAAATTGAGAAAAAATGTATGGAATTTGGTAGTCACATTTTCGAAAAAATTAACCATGGAATGAAACTAACGAGTGTTAAACAGACCAGTTTTACCTTCAGTAGCAGAAACAGATAACGGGAAAACTGCAACAACAGGAATAAGTTTAACTTCAACAGGAACACTACTGTTGATTGTGTCTTCCCCTTTACTAAGATAAAAAGAAACACCATATATAAGACTTTACACTAAATCAAGACCATCACTATAGCATGGAGTGACAGAATGGTTGGTGCATGTGTCTTTCAGCTGTGTCATCCGGGTTGGATTCTGCAATATGTAGTTGTCCGATTAGAACTTTGCCTCAGCTGCCGACGAGACGAAGAGTGCTTCTGGCTTGACGTCATCAAACACTGCAGGTTTACTCTGCGTAATCATGTAGTACTGAAATATTGGGCCAAGGATGGTAGGACCGAGTGTGCTGTCTTCTGAGACACCGGATGTAACAGAAAAACAATCTGAAGCAATTTCATTAACGTATCTACGTAGTTAATGGACAAATTATTATTCTCAAACACGCTTACCTGGCTATACAATAATAATCGCCAGAGTCAGGTTTCGCAGTTTTACGAACAAAAAGTTTTGAAACTTTATCGTTGTTTTCAATCTTTACTCTTGTTGATAAGGACAGAATCATGCTATTATTCCTCCACTCAAAGGTCGGAAGAGATGGTCCAGTAACAGTACATGTTATCTCCAACATGCCTCCAGCATATCCACTGTACTGTACGTCCATTTGAATATCAGTAAATGCTAAATGTAAACAGAAGATGGGAGAGTAGGCGGCTTTTACTAAGCACCACCGTGCAACAGATGGCAGCAAATGGAAAAATGAGCGACGGAGTTAAATAATTGCTTTCTGTTATGTCAACAGTTTGGAAGTTGATCACCATCGATCTACATCATCAGGTGTCAGATTTCACAATGTCGGTAGCAAAAAATAAACGCTCCGCAAAAGAATTAAATAATTCTGTTTTGAGTACTCCTACTAAGCCAAGTACTAAGGTACAGAAAAAAGAAGTTGATGACAAAGTGGCCGAAAAAAAATGGGATCTAGAATCGCTATTTAAGCTAGTTGAGAGCATGAACAAGAAACTGGACAAGCTTGAATCAATCGAAGCGCATTTAAAACACGTGGATCACGATATCACTGAACTGAAACACTCGCTATCTTATATGCACGATACAACTGAAGAATTGAAGTTAAAACAAACCTCCTATGATGATATATTGTTGAAAAA